CACAGTCAATGTTTAAATGTTAACAAATGTGTTATAAAATCTTAAGTCTGCCAGTACCGTCTTCTGTCATTTGTAAAGCAGAGATACTATCTACCTCAGAGTAGTTAGGTGGAATAAATTAGAATAAGCAACATGTTCTACCCAGTGCCTGGCATATAGGACACAGAACTACACGGCTCCAGGATACACCATCCTCATTTACATCTGCGGGAATACTACAGCCTAGAATTGTGCAGGGACCAGCCTTCTGGCTGTACAAATGGTCCTGCATGGTAAGATGTCATTAATCTCCAACAACAAAAAGACAAAACAACTCAATTAAAAAATTAGCAAAGGACATGAATAGATACTTCACCAAAAAGGACATTCAAGCTGTCAACAAACACATAAAAATGTTTGAGATCATTAGCCATTAGGGAGATGCAAATCAAAACTACTTAACCTTACTAAAACAACACTGACAAAATATAAAACAAATTCTGGTGGGGATATGAGAGGAGAACCCTTATCTGCTGCTGGTGGGATTGTAAATGGCATAATCATATGGCAAACTATTTTGTTTACAAGGAAAAAAGAAAAATAGAAACAGAACTACCTCAGAATTCAGCAACCCCACTCTAATTATATACCTATAGCCCATACACCTAATAGAAAAAAGGCAGGGGGGGAAAAACCCCATATACACATCTATGTTCATTGCAGCTGTAGTCACAAAAGCAAGAAAGGTGCAGGAGGAGGGGACGACCTACACCCATGGCTAACCAAAAAGGGGCATACCTTGGAGATGTTGTGGGTTCAGTTCCAGGTCAATGACACAAAGTGATTATAACAAAAAAGCAAGTTACACACATTTTCTTGTTTGCCTGTGCATATTAAAGTTTCACTTACACAAGAGGGCTTCAAAAAGTTCATGGAGAAATAGAATTGAAAGATAATGGGATTTTTCTACAAACTTTTTGAAGCTCCTTCATACTAGTCTATTAATGTGTATTATTTAAAAAATGTGATATTGAGGATTAATGTGACCTAGAGATATGACGTGAGTACATGCTTTTGAAAAATGACATGGGAGACTCACTTAGGTACAAGGTCGACATAAACCTTCAATTTGTAAAAAAAAACACCGTATCTGAAAAAGGCCTAGATAGCGAAGCTAGTCAACTAATAAGACCTTCTGTATGGGAAGCTCCTACAGAAGGTGACACAGCACACACTGTGTCAGTGAACTGCCACACAGACACATCAAGAAAGACTTCCATATAGAGGCAAAACATAACTTTTAGTCTACTCCCCCCCCCACCCAGCCTGTTTTTCTCTTATCTTGGAAGCAACAGGAACAGTCTCTTCTCTGTGTAGGGAATAGACTGGTTGAGATTGGCTGTGCATTTAATGTTTGATTTCTTTTAAATGAGCCAAAGATGACATGACAACATGTAAAGATCTGTAAGTGTGGGTGACAAGTACACATCTGGCATATTATTTTCTGGTATGTTTGACACAGTCCATAATTTAAAATACACGAGGAAAAAACCCTATAAATAAAGCGACAAAGTCAGATGAGACAAGCCCTGCAACACTAACGTTAAAATACTGGGCAGCAACACTTCTGTTTGGGAGGATTCAAGAATTCGGTAACTTGGAAAATACCTATTTCATCTATGAAAATAAAATCTCACACAGGTAAGAGAATAACTTACCCTATTCCCTTCTTGAA